TCTGTGTGCCCCAGTGATGACCTTCTTTCTTTCTTTCCTCTTTCCCCCACTGTTCCCTTCCTCCTTTCCTGCCCTTTTTTTAACCTAAGTCATTTTAAGTTTAAAAAAAGAAAAATTCTCCCCCTAGTGGCAGAGGACGAGTTAACTTACAAACTTTGCCTCTACATAAGAACAAAAAACAGCTAGAACGGATTAATTGGATTTCAATGCATTCCTAGGGGAAATGCTGATTCGACTTACAAACGTTTCAACTTAATAACACCATTCCGGAACGGATTAAGTTCGTAAGTCAAGGCACCACTGTAAATGTGTCACATTCTTCCACATTTTAAATTTAATATATGCCCAACTACAAAGTCAGGGTTTGTGAAGATGCTTGTTAAAAGTCAACAGTGAAGTTGGCAAGAATGTGCCCATCTGCTGACCAAAATTTCCCATTGTTAAAATAACAGTCCTGCAATCCTACTTACTTTCATTCATGCACTCTACTTACTTACCTTGTAAGTAAGCCTCACTAGACACAACAAATTACTTCTGAAGAGGCAAATCTACAATTGCATTGTAAATTATTTATGTTTTCATACACTATAAAAATGTATGCTGGAAACTGCGTCAATCTTGGCAGACTGCCAAAAACCCTAACACAAAATGTTACCTATGTCTAGATGATGATGGAGTTCTCCTTCTCCTTGAACGTGATCTTGATCTTGAATGCCTTCTCTTGTCATCTTTTTTGTCTGTAATGAAAACATTAAATATTGTCACTTGTCACACAACATCTACGGTTGTATGCTCTTGAATTCTCCCAATGGAATGACTTTTCTTACCTACTGGCCGTTTGGAGAGTATTTCTGACTCTTTTAATAAGGAATAAAAGGCCATAAATTCCTATGTCTGAACTATTCAACACAACCATGAAAAATGAGTTTACATTTTTGACTGAAGGAAAAAAAGGCACTTCCTCTAAGAAATGCCTTTTTGGTGACTGAAAACAATTCAATAAATCAGTTTTCTAGAGCAGTGGTCCCCAACCTTTTTGACACAGTGGACTGGTTGGGAGGGCGCCTCTAAGCTTGCGTGCATGCAAGCGGTGGGGGTGCTCATGCAGCATGCGCACACACTCACACTCATGCTCAAAGGCGGTGTGCGGGTGGACGTGCGTGGGGGGAGATCCATCTCTGCGGCCCAGTCTTGCCAAGGCCACGGACTGCCACCGGGCTGTGGACCGGGGGTTAGGGACCCCTGTTATAGAGCACTAAGAATACCAAAAGCATTCTGCTTCCTGTATTTGGCCACCAGTGTACATCACTTCACACTTACAGAAAAGAGCATTTACTATAAGCAGACTTAGCACAAACAGCCAATATAATTTTTGAACTACCCACAAAATATTGGGTGCACAGTCTGAGGAAGATGAATTATCACTGAAACCTAGCTGTTTACTTGATTTTTTTAGTGGTCTAATAAAGATATCTTCTGCTCTTGCATTTGTATAATTTTTAAAAAGTCACTCTGAATAACTGGGTGTCATCGGCAGTCTAACCAAGTACCTTCTGTAAGGTAAATCTATTGAAGATACATCCAAAGCTAGCTTACCTGGTTCTATGGCAGCAGAAATAAGAGACTGTGCTTCTCGTACACGTTTCATGGCTTCTTCTATTTCTTTACTGGAGGTATCTGTTTTCAGACTTGGTGAAACAAGTCCTGCAGCTACATGGTTCAGCCTGGAATAAGACAGAAAGTTAACAGGTGGTTTTACAGCTTGCCAAACCAGAATTATATAGGCCAGATTATTAATACTGATTTCTGAGTGGATGGCAGTTTCACAACTATACACTTGTTTAATAACATAACTTTAAAAACAGAATTGAAGATGCTTAGCTTCCTCTTCCATCCTCTTTTCTATTATATTACTGTATCTCTAACAGACTGTGACTGTGGGCAAATGCAGGTTTCTAAATTTTGTCTGAAATATTTAGAAACTTCAGAAACTCCATAAAGAAACCACAAAGAATTATAATTTTGGCCTGCTTTTCCTTAAATGGAGAATACAGAATAGATAACAATAATGTAGTTTATTTCTTCATATTTGGAAAAAGTCAGACAATACTCTGACATAGCCATTGTAAGCCATTAAAAACTCAAGGAAACCACTACAGATTCTATTTTGGGAAGTGGAAAGAGAGCAAAATTGTTTGGACTATGTTGGAAGATCTCCTCATCTCACTTTACTTGTGAAGTATAAGGAGAAAAGAAAAGTGAAGGCCTGGGCCAATGTGTCACTTCCCTTTTGCCCACAAAGAGCCTAACTGGAATGGCCTGGACTTTCTCTCTTCATAATAGTTGGCTTATGTTGGTTTGCAGACATTATACCCTGCCAGTTGATCGCTTAAAATTTTGAAATCAAAATGCCAGCAGATCACTGGAAAAGGCCCTTTTAAGAACAGAGGAGCCCTCTCAAATTTGGACCTGGCAAGTGTATGATTTTTTTAAACATACATGTGACAGTTCAAGGTCAGAGGTGTAATCAGTAAGCACAAGAGATAACAATAATTACAGTGACTTGAAGTTAAAACCACTAAATGAATATAAATAGCAGTATGAAAACTCCACCACTTAACTGAAAATTTTAAATTTTCTTGGCTCTTTCATTCATAATTCTCCCTCCTAGGGCTCCTGTGTTCACAACATTACCAGACCTTTTGAATACCCAGGCCCTATCCCAGCACTTTTAACAGTTCCAGGTATGAGATATTAAGCTGATAAAGCACCTGAAACATCTTCAACTTCATGAAAGGCTAAGTGCTGCATGATTTAAGTACTCTTCTGGTAGCCAGAGGCAGCAAGGAATTAACTACATGAAGGTGGGCACAAAAGGAATGAAGGTCTGTCTCTCCTCTAAGTTTAGGACAGAAACTGCACTCCTGAAGAAGGAACTGTTTTTCCTACATGAATCTGCTCTGAGAAAATCTTTCTCATTGTCATATGACAGAGGTGGGTAGCCTCCCGGAACAGGAAAGCCACAACAGATCCCATCAGGAGCTGTATTGCGGGAGCTGCAGCTGAAATTCAGTGTCTCCTCCTACAGTTGCTGTAGCAGCTTCCTGTGCTATGATGATGCTCTGTAAAGGCTGCCTATGGCAGATGAAAAGGAATTGGTTTTTACGGCAGCTGGAAAAAAAAAAGCAGCAAAGCATGCTGCTTATATACCGCCCCATAGAGCTTCAAGCACTCTCTGGGCAGTTTACAAGTTAATTATGCAGGCTACCCCCCCCCCCCCCCCGGTGAGCTGGGTACTCATTTTACTGACCTCGGAAGGATAGAAGGCTTAGTCAACCTTGAGCTGCTACCTGGGATTGAACCCCAGGCCATGAGCACAGTTTTGGCTGCAGTACAGCAGTTGAACCACTCACTGCACCACGAGGCTCTTCTGAAACATGTCAGCAGCCACAAAAAACAGGGTGTGAGTGTATGCTGCCCACCCCTTTTTTATCTCCTTAACCTTAACCACTGAAGGGATCACACTTTTGGTACTTGCCTATGAACAGTTTCCAGTGTTTACTTGGTCTGGATACTGGGTTGAAAAAGCAGGGGTTTTTTATTTGCATTTCAGTACAAACGTGAAAAACTATACTTACTTTGGATCCACTGTGCTCATAAGCTTTAATAGCTGGTCTGCTGCAAGAGACTGTAAATAAATTTTAAAAAAGGCCTTTAAACTCAGAAATTTGGGTGAGAAAAAATTACACTGAAGCAAACCCTGAAAACAACCCCTTAAAACTATAGAAGAACAGTAAAGAAGTCAATATACAAAAATTTACTGCAAGTCACATGAAAATAGATCATGAAACATTCTCCTGCCAGTATGATTTCTTGCTACACCGTCTACCTTATAGCTTTTAATTCTCAACTGCCTGATAAAGAATCTACTCTGCTTAACAGCTGATATTTCTCCTACTCTTTGTTTCTTTATGCTTAAAGCCAGACCAAAGGTTTAACATGTAGCAACCGAATCAAGCTAAATGCATGCTAACTTAACATCAGTTAAATCTACCATGTAACAATTACAGTGGTGCCTCGCATAACGGGCGCCCCGTTTAACGACGAATCCGCATAGTGACGATGTTTTTGCGATCACTTTTGCAATTGCATAATGATGTTTCCTATGGGGGGAAATCGCTTTGCGATGATCGGTAAGCTGTTTCGCTTACCGATTTTCGCATACTGATGTTTTTCCCCCAGCTGATCGGCGGTTCCAAAATGGCCGCTGGGTAAAACGGACGGATTCCTCGCATACCGGGCAGCTAAAACGGCCGCCGTATGGAGGATTTTCGCTTAAAAGGTAAGTTTTAAGCTCATAGGAACGCATTGAAGGGGTTTCAATGCATTCCTATGGGCTTTTTAATTTCGCATAGCGACGAATCCGTATAGTGATGATTTTTGCTGCACAGATTATCGTCGCTATGCGGGGCACCACTGTAATATGCAAACTAGGTTCTTCTAAAAAATGTTAAATTAAAACTTAAAATGCACATTTTCTTTCCATTAGTTTCTATTAGAATGGTTCCTACATTTAACATTTTACAAGCTAAATTAGAAGTCAAACTTGCACTTGACTTGAAGTCCTGATGCAGCTATGATCTAAATTGTTTTACTGTAAAACAGTGAGGTCTGCTTAAAAGAAGAACAGGAACAGCATGAACATAATCCTGCTTACTCCAAAGTCGATCACATGAGTTTACTGGAACTTTCACTGAGGTACCGCTCAGGATTATGGTCTTACATTACAAATTTTCCCACATATAAGAGGGGATGAACTGCCCACATGTTTTAACACAGAGGCTGCATGCAATATTCCCTCTTTGTGTAGAGAATCCATAAAGAGAGGAAGTGTGAGCTAATAATATAGAATATATTAATGAAACAATGAAGCTCAACTATTACAAGACTTTTGAGTATGAGGCTGAGAAGGCCACCGCTAAGCACCATTTTCAAAACATGTATTCCACAATACAAATATTAAAGAAAATATAAATTAAATCGAGTCACTGATGCCAAATGGTCAGTGGTTGAATGCTGCTCTCCAGTGTTTTTCACCAAATCTAGCTGTGACACAGATAAATGTTTCAAAGAGAAATGTTTCACCAAAAACTTTGGCCCAAACTTGTTTACTGGACCTCATCCTATCCATTACTTATCTCACGTACTGATTCAGCATATCAACTACTTCATGTGAATTACATGACAAAGACGAACAGTCAAACGTCATCACGTTAAGAATGGCACCATTCTTCTGATCCTGAAATGTCTCACACAGTGGTTTCATGTGCACATTGAAAAGCACAAACAATAGAAAAGAATCAAGTTTATAAGTAAGGGAGGTTATACAAAATAAGGTTGTTATATGTTTCAGATACAGTATAAAGAGTCCACTTTATTAATCCCACTTATCTGAATCTGTTAAAACACTAGAGTAATGTATGTTATTGGAAGTCTGAATGCTTGGCTGTATCACAGTTCTGAAACACTTGCTAGTTTTATTTATGCCAGGATATAAATAATAAAAAGTATTGTATAAATTGATACAAATTCAATATACCTTATTTTTTCATGTATAAGACACCCCCCTGCTTTTCTAACCCCAAATTAAGACATCTAAGTGGGGCTTAGCAAGTGGAGGGGAAAACAAGGATCAAAGCCCTGCAGAATCACTTTGATCCCTGCTATCTCCTCCACTTATTTTTTTTCTCCTCCTCAGCTTACTTCGGTATATAAGACGACCCTCAATTTTTAGTCTAAAGATTTTAGACAAAAGTATAGTCTTATACATGGAAAAATACGGTATGTACCAACTTACATATTTGAGTGCTGAAAAATTGACAGAACTGACAATTTCCCAGAAACCAGAGCTGGGGTTACACAAACACACCTGGGAGTTTAGATTTGTTGCAGGAAGCCCAAGAGCGGCCAGGGCTGGGTCAAGAGTTGGAGCTCCTAAAGCAGCCAAAGGAACAGCACCAATCTATAAAAAAGAAAGTTAATTAAAATATCTCCAACAATATATTTTCCTAAGACAAATAAGTATACTGCACCCTGTATGTCTGTCCTCCATATTAAAAATAATCTTCAAATACTTCATAACAGTTCTGTTTAGCTTTCAAAGTACTCCTACAGGACAACCTGTAGGAACATTTAACATGAAACAACACAGGAAGCTATTATCTTCCTGATCAACTTATTGTTCATCTAACCATACTACTGTCTAAGAGCAACTCTCTATGGTTACTATGAAGTAATCATAGTCATAATCCATTCTTTGAAAACCATCTCAACCGGAGTCACCCACAATTAAACCTAGGACCTTCTAAATGCAAAGTGTGAGCTTCTCCACTCTGCTATGGTTTGCCCACAATGATGCTGATTCCTGTCAAGTCAAGTCACTTATTATTCAAATTTCAGTAATCTGACTGCCATTTTCAAAAAATCCTTTCTACTCTTCTAAATTCAAAGCTTAACACTTCATCTTCTCCATACAGAACAAGACGAAGAGGTAAAAATAGGCATGGAGATCAGAGCATTTATACATTAACATCACTGCTTTCTTCACCTCACTTTTTGGAAATACTTAGGTTTACAAGGAAAAAGTACAGGATCACAGCATGGCATGTTGAAGTGTGGGCTACAGAATAGCTGTAAGGATGAAGATATCATTGGAAATTAACTTCATGGTAGTTATCACAGTTCTGCTGCAGACTTCGCAGTTATTCTGGCATAGCAAGTATGTCTTCCTGGGTATACCGATTCCCCGAAAATAAGACAGGGTCTTTTATTAATTTTTGCTCCAAGAAATGCATTAGGGCTTATTTTCAGGGGATGTTTTATTTTTTTCATGTACAACAATCTACATCAATCTATATTTGTTCAAATAGTCATATCATCTTCTGGTTGCTGCACAATGGTGGAGAGAGGGGTTTCACTTAACTAGGGCTTATTTTGGGGGTAGGGCTTATATTACAAGCATCCTGAAAAATCCTACTAGGGCTTATTTTCAAGTTAGGTCTTAATTTTGGGGGAAACAGGGTAGTAATAAAGTAGTAAACACCGAATGTGTACTAAGCGTCCCACACCACACATGGAAACATACCTGAGAAAGAGGGTTGGGTGTAGGCAGGAGTCCACCCCCTGGCAGAAGACCTGCCACAGCATTAGCTGGTGCCAAGAGAGACAAAGCCTTAGTCTCATCAGGAATAACTCCTGCAGAGAAACAGCTCTGCATTAGAAGACATTCATCAATTATCTTTTTTTAAAAAAACCACACACACAATACACCCAGAAAATGTCTCCCTGAAACACCACCTGAGTTTCCTGAAAGTATTTATGTTGGCTAAAATACAATGTTTGATTTCTTAATAATTTATCATTAATTTGCATGTCAGAATGAAATGTCAATGTGTGAAATTTGACTGTTCCTTTTTCTCTACAAAAGGTTAAATTCTAGAATAAAAAAATAGCACAATACACACTACTTTTTTGTTAACACTGCCAAGATTTCATCACCTGTACTCGATTTTTAAGTCATGAACCAAACGTAAGCAAGCACAGTCGGTTCTCCAGGGGTGTGCTCTCAACTTTCAAAAGCTGTTTTATGAACAACGACTCGTGTCGGCTGCTTCACTATAAAGCACACAGAAAAATCAAGATACACAAGACAAAAAAAGTTTGATTTAGGGGTTAATAATATGGTACAGTTCACTATGATTTCTTTTACACCTACCATACAATTTTGTAAAACTTAAGAGAAGGTAAGAAAAAGTGTAGGGCTTTTGCTGGCAAGTCACATGGATGGCAAGGTCTCCACAGAGTTCCAAATACAGGTTCTGCATATGTGTCCATGTGTACGTGTTTAAGTAAACACCTAAAATGTGGCACATTCCTTACCTGTGCAGTAAAATACATGCTCCACTGTGTGTCGTGCTTACTGTACCAACACTGTGGCTAAATATTTCCTATGAAACTTCCTGTCTGAGGCCTTTTGGCCTATGACGTGTCTAGGTCTACAGCCTACCTTCAGTAAAGAATAACCTCACAAAAGGTCCAACATGAGGTAAACGATAATGTTGATCTTTGTTACTTTAACGAACAGCAAAAGCCCTATACGTATGGATTAATCTGTTAATGTGCCCAAGCCCCCAATATGAGCGTTCAATAAGACAACTGTACTATATATTTGCAAATACCAGTAGTGTTTCTGCAATACATATTTCAAAAACTGCATCTCATCATAAAACATACAATATGTACAGGGCACTTAAGAGAAACTGGATAAGCTGCAGAAGAAAACTGTTGGGTGGTATTTTCAGCAGGGCCTGGTATATAGTTCAGGCTGAACCAGGGAAAAGAACTGTAAAACACAACAACAAAAAAGAAAAACCACTGTTAAATAAAGGTAATGGTTCCTTCCACCTATACTGAGAAGTGCCGATAATATAAACAAATGTATAATATACAGCACTGTTATCTTTCTTCTGTCACTGAGCTGTCATAATTTCAATACCAAAAGTTATGGTGGGAAGACAGGGGAAAGGTCATTTAGATATATGGCATTAATGCATCAATATAAACATTATCTATAGAGATTATGGGACAATTTTGCATGCAAAATTATGTCTCAGAGGATATTATTTATGCTTACATACAATTAGTGGAACTATCACATTTCTGGCATCTAACTAGAAATCCTCTTATTCTGAGACACCTCACAGAAGATCTGCATCCATTAAGTAGTCATGCATTTGATCCTCTCATTTTTAGGAAAAAAGTTATTCAGAAGTAAAACTACAATTAAAAAAAGCAATGAGGCCCCTCACCAGTTAATTTTCATGCGTCAAGAGTTTTTTACTGCTGCTTTGTTAGAACCATGACATACTGCATGAATGTGTAGAAATGAAGAAAAAGAAACAGACAAAAGAAACAAACATTAACCAAAGAACCTACACAACCCCACCCAAAGCCATTGTTAATATTTGCGTTCCTTGAAAAATCCTTGAATTTAAAAATGATGTTCATAGCGCCATGCCTTACCGTGAACTTTGTGTTAAATCTAAAACACAAAGGAACAACCAACACCAAGATATAGGAACACATTCAAAACAGGAATGTGACTGATACACAGGGCTATGCTCAGCACAATGCAGTATAACATTTTCAGAAACATCATGTCAGCAGTTATCACTGCAATAGTAAAAAAAATTTACTTAAATTCAGCAGAGTACTGAAGCACATGCCTTGACACATATGAACCACCCCAGTGAATTAAAAGTATCTTACTGGACAATGCTTAAGTACCTTGCGGAAACTGGGCTCTTGAAATATGAACAACTGAAGAGTGAAGCCCATAAGGAAGAAATTCAAGAACACCAAAGTCATTTAAAAGGAGGACATAATAGTGACCAAAACTATAATCCTCCACAAACCAGAAAACCGTGCACAAACCCAAACCCAAATTGTGTCCTTGACAAAACTTCAGGAATGTTATGTGATCTATTTGGTCAACATCTTAGTGCCAAATTTCTAAGGTATTTACAATTTCAGTGTGCTGTATAAAATCATATTTAGCAAAAGACTGGCTTTAAAAGCTATTCAAACTTAGTGATTTACGATCCTCAAACACTACTACAAGCTACTAAATCCACACTAGATATGATAGTAACAGTCCTGCCCCATCACATAAAAAGACTATAATTTTTTAAAGAACTGAAGTAACACAAGGGTGAGAGGCCCTGAAATCTACCCCAACCTGCTGATTTACCCACCCAAAGCCTCTTTCTGCTAGTGGTGAATATATTTCCAGTGTTGGCATTCAGGAACTGCCTCCCCCCCATGCACAAGAGGAAAAAATCTTGAAGACATTCAGCTGCAGGCACACATGGGTTCTGCACTTGTCACCCATGTGCCACTTTTACACTTAAAAGACTGATTCCATTTTACCCCTCTTTCTATGATACTGGAGAAAACCCAGGCACTATCACATCTAGTTTGGCCTTAATACAAATATATATATACATAAATAAATAAATAAATAAATACCAAAAAGAAAATAAGTTACTTCAGTGTGCTACTTTGCCCAAAATAACATAGAAGCAATCAGATTTAAATAAGTTTTACATGGCTATGTAAAACTGACTGAGATTTTAAACTGCTTATGCTATTTTTAGTTTCAGCTAGGAATTACTACTAGGTCTTGCCAGATTTGTTTGCACACTGCATATTCCTCTCTTGCTAATGTGCAAACTGCCTTTTATTTTTTAAGGCACTGCAATTAAAAGTTACACTGCAATCCATAACACATCCAGTGATTTCATGTAGCTTTAGCAATCTGTGTGTGCAGAAGCGCAGTGTAAAACTTCAACTATTTTATTGTAATCAAATGACTTAAGAAGATTACTGGTTTATCAGTGAACGGTGCCTTTGAAAATGTGATGGAATCTACAGTAGTTCAACAGAACTCATTAGAACAGCAGTCTTCTTGGTACAGAATTATAGAGTTATGCTCCCAACCCTGTTCACTGTTTTTCAAATTACTGTAACAGCCTAAAAATGTAAGAAAAAAAGAGAAAGAGAAAAAAATGTTGTTAACAAGTGATTACACCAGGAAAACACTTGGGGGACTTGAGTGCTTGCTGGCCTTTAGTTAATGTCTAGAATCCCCTGTAGCTGCAGAGGACCCCACTGTTTCAGTCATCTGGAAGGGCCTTTGCATTTGCCTTCTCCACTATAAAAATCACACACACAAATAACAGAGAAAAGAGTTTATTATTTACTGAAATTCTAGAAAATATAGCAAGGTTGAACAAGAAAAAGCAGAATAAGATCTAATGCCCAGTGCCCATTTAGCACCTCTGGAGATATTTTCTGACTAACCAAGATCATCAAACCCCTGGTGTACCAAAATTTGTTCAAAGGATAAATATTTTTAAATTGTAAAACTGCAGTAGAAAGGACACTACCTTGTCAATATCAGTAAAAGTCAATTCATTCTCTGTGGAAGAAAATGAATTCTGAATCTCATAACAGGCTATGCCATGTAACTTAAGGCAACATTGTTGTTTCTGCTTTCCAGATTAAAACAAAAAACAAAGATTAAATGGTATCTTCAGGGGGCCTGATGAAAGTGAAATGTCAAAGAATTCTGGTTACACAGATCTGAATTTTGACAGTCTTTGCAAAAAGACTGAAAGGCAAGTTCTAACTTTTGCTGAACAACTTGTGTCTAATTTGCTTCTGTATTAAAAACTAGAGAGATCAGTATACCAAGGGTTTTTTTAAAAAAATGTAAATAGCTTATATTGCTTTCCATGCTAAACTTCCTGCTATGAAACTACTTCAAGATTGATTACCATTGTTCTACGACTTCATAGATCAGTAAACAATTCACAAACCTTCTGCGTATGGTACGACTATCAATGCTCTGTCAACGAATACAGTATTTGTCAGATGCTGCGCCACAACTGCAGAGTCGGGTTCTTGGAATTTTACAAAACACACACGTGAAGAAATGGGCAAAGGGGAGTCACTGGAAGGGGAAAAAGAACAATGAGAATATCAGATGGCAGTTCTAAAAAAATCCAAAAATTATTTGACTATAGAGACATAAAAATGGATTGTGATGGCACGAGAGTTTCAAATTACTGTTTACTATAATTAAATTATGAGTTGCTGCAAAAGACAAGAGGTGTGGCTATTATCGACCTGCTCTAACAGCTATGACTTGATGAATATCATTATCTAGAACTAAATTTCAAGAGAAACAAAGACAACGTGAAGTTATTAATTACTGCCCATCATAAAATACGATATTTTGGGAAACTATATAAAGAAGTGCCAAGATATTTCCATACTTCATTAAAGTTGATAAAGATGCCTATGAAGAAGAGACATCTAGTGGCAATTATCAGGAATTAACCACTTCCCTTTCCTCTTTACTGTTTAATACAGTGATAGGTGGATTCCAAAAATGGAGACTGGGGTATTCTTTTTCAGATTTCTGGAATTCATTAATTTTCTCACCCAATCCTGCCAAAGCCAAGGCTAATCTGTAAGGAACATTTAATTTATTTATTTTTAGTACGGAGAGGTTCCTGGAGGTCATCTCACCAGTGAAACTGGAAGACATTTTTTCACTTTAAAAACATACAGTTGCACAAAAAACATTCAGTAAGACAATCAATGAACAAAACTGCAAAATATTGGTCAATTTTAAAGTATGAATTAATCATTTGAGCTTATCATCCCTAGGAAGCATGCTGATCTATCTTTCTATAACCCACAAAAGCTTTCTGTTAATGTGTTCACTACCACACAATGTAATTACAGTAGTTTTTAATGCTGCATCACAAATATTTTCTTTTAAAATCTGAATGTAAGAGAAGTTTGTGCTACCATGACTTTAAAACTTACAGCAAATTTGTTCATATTTTAAGTACAATATTTAAACCACATAAACAGGGAAAGCCTGTGTCTGCTTACTCAGAAATAATGTCTATACAGTATTTAATAATTAAGTATATTCAGAGTTGCGTTTTTAACTGGAATACTCTATTTTTTGCCCAAATATTTAATTTCAACTACTTCGCAGTGGTCAAAAATATGCAAACCACCTGTATTTCACATTACATGAACACACATTTCAAAGCTTCTGCTTACAATACATAACTGAAATCATATAGTAATCAATTTCTAACACTGGGTTATTTTCCTCCAGATTTTTTCCCAAATCTACTAGTCCACATCCACTGCAGCCTTCATAATTTCATCTACTACTTTTTCACATGGAAAAAGTTGTAACTGGCGGAGCTAAGACTTCTATTGCCTACAGAAACAGCTAAAACAATTAACTAAAGGAACAACAACATGCTCCTGGAAGTGTTTTAAAAAGTTTTTTTTTTCAGCCTAATCCTGGGCTAAATTCTGGCCAAACGTCAGAATTTTAAAGTTGAAAAGTTTCCAGTTTCACAAGCAACCTGCCGAAATCTTAGTGGGAGAATCACTCGGTACATTTGGGCCATCTAAAAAGAATCACGTGTCTATTTCCTTATTTGTGTCAAAGTTACGCACGGTCTAGATTACTCTCCTGACATAATCACGGGCGGCATTCGTACACAACTACTGAGGGCGAACTCCAGGTGCGGCTCGGGTGCGTGCGTGCTCGCTCCCTCCCTCTTGGCAGGAACTAAAACCACCGGCCCGCGATCCCCCTCCTAGAGACCGGGAGCCTCACAGGCAAGGCGTGTGAAGAGATGCGCAAGTCCTCGCTTGCTCCGGGAGGCCGCC